GACTAAAAAAATGTGCGACTTTTTATCTCATAATTACTTTTCTTCCAGAAATTGCGAGTGTATCTCTGGCAATTATGGGACAGAAGTCTAAACTGCGAGTTTGTGTGTCTTATTTCGACTTTTTTCCCCTCAGAACTGTGTGAAAAAACTTGGAACTGAGAAAAAAAAAGTCTGAATCATGAGATATCAACGAAAATCTCACGAAATAAAATTGCAAGTTATAAAAACAATTTAAATTGTAAGATATGAAATCATAATTGCAAGAAAAAAAGTCATAATTGCAAGTTATAAAGGTATTATTGTGATATTTAAAGTCAGAATTGCGAGATATAAAGTCAGAATTGCGAGATATAAAAGTCAGAATTTCGAGAAATAAGTCAAGAATTGTAAGTTATAAAGGGTATTATTGTGATATTTAAAGTCGTATTGCGAGATATAAAGTCAGAATTGCGAGATATAAAGTCAGAAATTGCGAGAAATAAAGTCAGAATTGCAAGTTATAAAGTCAGAAATTGTGATATTTAAAGTCGTAAATGCGAGATATAAGTCAGAATTGTGAGATATAAAAGTCAGAATTGCGAGATATAAAGTCAGAATTGCGAGATATAAAGTCGCAATTGCGAGATATAAAAGTCAGAATTGCGAGATATAAAGTCAGAATTGCGAGATATAAAGTCAGAATTGTGAGATATAAAAGTCAGAATTGCGAGATATAAAGTCAGAATTGCGAGATATAAAAGTCAGAATTGCCGAGATATAAAGTCAGAATTGCGAGATATAAAAGTCAGAATTGCGAGAAATAAAGTCAGAATTGCAAGTTATAAAGTCAGAATTGTGATATTTAAAGTCGTAATTGCGAGATATAAAGTCAGAATTGTGATATATAAATAAAGTCGAATTGCGAGATATAAACTCAGAATTGCGAGATATAAAGTCAGAAGTGATATATAAAGTCAGAATTGCGAGATATAAAGTCAGAATTGTGAGATATAAAGTCGTAATTGCGAGAAAAGAAATTGTGAGAAATGAACTCAGAATTGCGATAAAAAAGTAGGAAATGCAAGAAATAAATTTAATTTCGAGTTATACGGTCAGAATTGCGAGAAAAAGTCAGAATTGTGAAATATAAAGTCGTAATTGCGAGAAAAAGACAGAATTGCAAGAAATTAACTCAGAATTGGGAGAAATAAAGTTGGAAATGCAAGAAAAACTAAATTCCGAGATATAAAGTCAGAATTGTGAGGAAAAAAAATTCAAAAATGCAACAACACACAAAAAATCTATTTTTATGTCATATTATTCACCATATTCTTAAAAATGAAAATTAGCCGAAACATGTAGTAAAAACTCGTTTACATTTGTGCATTTAGCAATCTCAATCCTGCTTTCCTCTACAAACGTGCGTTTCTGATTCTTTCTCGCTGAAGAACGACACATCTAATGTTCCTGATCTAGTAAATTTAGAGTTGCAGAAACTAAATCATAAAAACAAGTGAAGATAGTGATGCGTCACATCATAGAGATACGCCCTGCCATAACTCGTCTCAGATGTATTTACACTAACCAAACTGGTTGAGTATTTCATTATGTGCTTTAGAACTGTTATCCATTCCAACAACACATGAGATGGGTGGTGATTTTCTATCAAACCCGAGAATATTGACGCAACATTGGATAAATAAGATTTTTAAATGGACATAATCAATTGCAGAATTTGAGTTTTGAAAATCACTTGACTAGTTGAACTTGCAATGTTGCATTATTGCAATAACAAGAAGCATTATTAAGCATAATAATTAAGCAAGCTTTATATCTCGCAATTCTGACTTTATATCTCGCAATTCTGACTTTGTTTCTCGCAATTCTGACTTTGTTTCTCGCAATTCTGACTTTGTTTCTCACAATTCTGACTTTGTTTCTCGCAAATTCTGACTTATTTCTCACAATTCTGACTTTATTTCTCACAATTCTGAGTTTATTTCTTCGCTTTGAATTTATATCTCGCAATTCTGACTTTGTTTCTCACAATTCTGACTTTATTTCTCACAATTCTGAGTTTATTTCTCGCTGAATTTATATCTCGCAATTCTGACTTTGTTTCTCA